CATTACATTGGAGAGAGACAGGATTAGAACCCTGGAGCCAGGTTTGCAGCTGCAGTTTTAAGTTAGTTTCTTCCCTCTGCTCTGAAGCTTCAGAACTACACAATGAGGGTGAGAGAAGTGTTGGGGGGCCCCTTCCATTCCTTACTGTTCCCCATTTAGCTTTGCCAGAAGAGACCAGAAAAGAACCACACCCATTATACCCCTTGAGTGAGTTCTGATTCGAGGCAACCGTTCATCACTTTCCAAGGTTGTAAATCTGAAAGGAAGCAGACATTTCCTCTTCTCCCCAACAATCCGGCCGCCGGCCTTCCTAAGGTGGGGCAAAGGTGAGCCTCGGTCCCTCCAGGGCCCTGAGTTTTAGTTCTGCTTTGGTACCGGGGAGGTTGCTAGCAACAGACGAGGCAAGGGGTAGGATCGCCCCCATCACCAAGCAGTCTCTCCAAAACCCTCTGAGTGGCTGACAGGTATTCTTGCAACCTCTCCTCCTCTGGTCTATCTTATTCCTACCCCTCCTATGCGCTCTGCATGGAGTTCACGGGGCTTCGGCATCGAAGCCTAGAATCTGGGGAGCTGCCGCCACCCGGGGCTGTGCGCACCACTAGATGGCAATGTCGATTCCCGGGTGCTCTGGACCTAGAGCCAGCGTCCGTTCCCCACCTCCAACGAGCCCTCACACAACGGAGCGCCTAGGTAGAGCCTCCTAGGCTGGGGAGGTGGGCACTCTCACCAGGCCATGCACGACGCCACCCCGGAGATGCCCTTCGTCTCCCGCGGGGCTCCACGATGCAAAAGTTAAAGGCGCCTGGATTCCGCGGGGCACCCGGCAAGGAACGCGTGGGTGGGAACGCGAGTGCGGGTTCTGTTTGTGTGTGATTACCGGGGAGCGCGAGTAGACGCGAGTAGCTGCTGCATGTGCATGTGTGCGCACGGCCACGCCTGGCCCCAGTGCGCCAGATGGACACGTGTGTGTGTGCATGCGTGTGTATGCCGGCGTGCTGTGGCCAGGAGGACGCACACGTCTCGGTGTGTCTGTACCTGAGTCCACGAGCAAATGCTAGGAAGCAGTGGGTGACCCGCCACATTCCAAACGTCCCTTGGGGAGACTGAGGCAAGACCGGCCTGGCCTGAGGCTGAGCGATCAGACCCGGCCTGTGGGTGGGGCAGGGCTGTGAGCCAGTCTACCCTTGGGGCTGGCTGCGACGGGTCCCTCATGACCTTGGGACACCCCGCGGTGCACGCGCTCTCAAAGCTTCGGTCCAGAGTCTTCTCGGCCTCGAACTGACGTGTGTCTCGGGGGAGATTCTCTAAAAGTCGCCCCATCTGGACGGCTGGGGACCCTGCGCTCAGCGCTGCGTGTCCTTGCCCTGTGGCACGTTATTGCCAAAGGGCACTCAGTCTCCTGGCGGGAGAGCGCAAACAGTATTCCCTAAGCGGGAGGTGTACCCTCCTTCACTCAGCCTTCTACTCCCCCACAAGCCCTTGCTCTGCTGGAGCGTCCAGGGTGAGGGCACCCGGCTTTTCAAGATCTGGGCTCGGGTGGAACTCGAGGGGTACACCTGGGCCCAAGAGGAGGTCTTTCCACATTATTGTGGACCAGGACCTGGCTCTCGGGTGCCCGGCCGCCCCTCACCCCCACGTCCCCCAGCACGCAGTTCCTGCTGCCTCCGAGTCTGGGCGCAGGCTCCCCGTCCTCGGGCCCTCTCTCCGGGACCAGACGGGAGCTGGAGGAGCCGGTGCTCCTGACGCCGTGGGGTGGGTTGGGGCGTGGGTCCCTCCTCGGTTCTTAGGGGTTCGCTCAGGCCCCCAGGAAGGCTGGACAGGAGAAGAGACTGAGCGGTCCCGGGGAGGGCGAGGGGGAGCAGGGGGTTGACAACGACATTGAGCCGGCGCTTCCGCCCCGTGCCAGGGGTTTCCACTGGGTCTCCAGGCGCGGTGCCTTAGCAACAGAGGGAGGAGCCCCGAAGCCAGGAGGGGCGCCGGGGAGGGCAGGGTGCCTTCCGTCGGGGCTCAAGGTCGCTCCCGGAGACCCCCGGCCCCAGAGTGAATTGGCAGTGCGGGGGGGCGGGGAGGCAGGCGGGAAAAGGCTGCTCGCGCTCCGGGCGCCATGCAGAGCTGCCAGGGGGAGGCGGGCGCGGGTCCCGCCCGACGGCTGTCACCCGCTCCCTAGGGGCTGGGGGCGGACACCCTGCGCCCCCCTGGGAGCGCCCAGCCCTTTTCTGAGGCGCATCTGGAGAAGCCTCCGAGAGACCCTGGGCCTTGTTCCCCGCGGGGCCCCCCTCCCCGTCCCGGGTCCTCCGCAGCTCCCAGCTCGGCGCTCGGCCCGAGGTCTTGGGCCCCGTCCCGATGGGACCACCTTCGGGGCACCTCCGGGGGTCCTAGAGCCCCCGTCCTGCTCGCCCCAGCAAGCCTCCCGCCCCCGCGCGGCTGCGGACTCACTTACCCTCCGCCGCCGCCCCGCTCCCCTCGC